GGGGAGGAGAGGTGGTTAGCTCAATTTCTATCTTTTCAATCTTGGTAACAAATACCAGGACTCAGTGTGGGGAGGTGGATTGTTTTAATATGAGGTCTAAAGATGCCAGCAAGGAGAGGCATGGAGAAAACCTTGGACAACTGCCTGTCCCAAGGACACTTTCCTTACAGTACAGGGGGGTTTAAATAATCCTAAATTTGGCCAAACACCTCTATCTCTGTTGCAGCCTGTTGGACCAGTCTGGCCTCATCGTGGCACCAGCCTTTTTCAACAAATGGAGGTATAAAAAGATTTGGAAAATTTTAATGGGTTATTAAATCAATTTCCTGCTTTCACTTCCTGCCCTATGGGTCACAGAATCTGCAACTCGAGAAAATAATTCCTCTGTGAAACTTGGCTGGGATTGCCATGGAATTTGGCAGAGACGCTAGCTCTTAGTCACCAAATTTACCCTGCATTGTCTGCTGCACAGTGATTCCCTGGGTTCTCCAGCATAGGTGGTAGCAGATTGCACCTGTTAAGTAGGTGATGAATGAATGCAGATTCAAATTGAAAGATGTTACATCTCTTGTCAATGAAGGCTGATGACTTTTATTCGGTAAAATGTCCTTTTAAGTGGTCAAATGACGTGAAGAAATATCTTTTTTCCCCACTTATTTCAAATATTCTGTAGTTATTAAAATGCACACAGAAAAATGAACAAATATTAATATTTCTCTGTTGAATACTTACCCACTTTAAATAATTCTTACATGTTTTACATACAACTAAAATTTGTCTTTAGCTAAATCATATTGATTTTTAATTTATGGGAAAAAACAATATATAGCTTTTCAGTAACATTCATGTATGTTTAGAAATAATAGGTTCTGTTAACTTTTGTTCATCCAAAAAAAATCTATCTCTTAAAGTTCTCTTTTCAGTAATTTTTGCTTAATTTGTATTTTTGATGAATGACTGTCCATGTAAGGATGTTTGATTAATACTAACAAAAGTTCATTTTTCCCAAGATTGTTGGACATTTTCTTTTGTTTTGTTTTGTTTTTTCACTGTGGAAAATTAGTAAGGAAAACTTTTTCTTTCTTTTTTCACCTTTAGAAAAAGAAATGGCAAGTTCCAAGTCTGTGGCTGAAATGTTAGACCGGAGGCTTCTCCTGTTTCACATAAGTGTAAGGAGTCAGTATTCATCACGGAGAAAGTATTCTGAGGCCAAGATGAAATTGCAAATGCTTAACCATATGAAACCCCGACTTAAGTAGTTGTCACACCAATGATGATTCTACTACTTTGACCAAAGGTTTCTGGGATACAGCCACAGTTTCTTCATTTGTTGAGGAATATAGTCTTCCCTCTGTTGACTCCTATTTGAGGTCTTCCTGGTGGGCATTTACTTATAAACACATAATCATTATAGCTTATTTTGTCCAAAAGTTTGTTTATACGGCATTGTTTATTTTGATATTTCATTATTTGTTTACACAGACATTATTTTGAATATGCTTACTACTGCCCAAACACCACTTAACCCTTTTTGTGATTGACAACTAAAAATCAGTTGTTTTAAAGGGGTACCCAAACCTCCGTCTGCCTATCAGAATCGTGACAAACTTTCGCTGCCATCAGTGAATGCTGCCTCATAGCAACCCTTTAGTACAGAGAACTGCCCATGTGACTTTCTGAGACTATACAAGGTGGTACACCCCCTCAAATAAACCCGAATTTTTTTCTTCAAAGATATGGTTTTAAATTTTTTTCAAAAAACAACCTTATCACCTTCAAAGTACTCTCCATTACACTTAATATATTTGTCAAATCTAAGATTCCATTCTAGGAAACATTTTTCAAACTCATCTGTTTGGATGACTGACAGCACTTCCCTCGTGTTTCTCCTCATCTCTGTCATCAAATCATTGTCCTTTCATGTCCCTCTTAATTCACAGAAACAAAAAGAGGTTGTACTGAGTGAGGTCAGGTGAGTAAGGTGTGCATTGACACATACTGTTACACAATCTTTTCAGAATCTTGACCTGGTAGGATGAACTCCAAATGCACTATGAGTCAACACTTTTGTCCATTTGGAAAGTTGATGGATATCCAGAATGAAGTTTCTCGTCAATTGACATGTCACCTTTTCTGAAAGGAGAAAACCACTGGTACCTTGAGTTTTTCCCATAGCGCTGTCCTTGTAAGTTGTGTTCAACATCACGACAGTGTCTGCAGCATTTTTCCCAAGCAGGAAAAAAAAATTCACAGCCTTACATTGTTCTCTTAAATCAGTCATCACAAAAATGTGGCTTGAGTGAAACTGCTTTTACTAAAAATTCACTGTGACCAGAGAGAACCTTCCCAGGCGATGCCACTGGGTGCACTAACTCAGAGCGAGTTTCTGGATGCTTGCCTAGTAAAAAATTGCATACTATGCAAACTCTACTCTGCCCTGTACAATTCTGGTGTTGGTGGGGGGGCGGTGCCCCCTCATAAATCTTTACAGGAATAAGAAGATGCATAATGCTAATGATTTCAAACTGCTGACTTTGTAGTTAGCATCCCAACATATAACTCACTAAACCACCAGGGCTGAGCCATACAGCAGATGCTAAACAGGCCTTGAAGTCAGATGAAACTGTATTCCAGCTCTGGGGCCTCCTAACAGTATTATAAAGTACAACTTATTTAACTTTTTTCATTCTCATTGGTAAAGTAGCATTGTTGTAAAGAAGAAATACATGAATATATTTTTGATAACTGCTTACAAAATAGTAAAGGTTATGTCAATATCAGTTCGCTTAGAGAGCAGATTATTCTTTTCAGTAAGAGTGAAGCTGATAAAGAAGATGTTATGGAATGAGAAATAATCAAAACAAGTCTTGGATTTATCAATATGATCCAATTAAAATAGTGGTTTCCAAGGGGTAGTGTGGACTAGTTACATTTAAGCACAGTGCTCAGCTCAAATGGTTAGAGTGGCTTTTTTTTTAATTTCTAGAATTTCACAGGATGATCACATAGATTAATTATGAAGATGTATGAAGAGACTTGAAAACTATATTGGTTAAAAAAAGGTCACGGTAGCAAGAAACATCTGATACGACTTTTCCTTGGGGAATCTTATCCCATCCACTCTACAACCCTTTCAGGCTTATTTTCACTTCCCCAAGTCAACCTTAAAACAGAACATAATTTGAATTTCTTAAGAATACCCCAACTGCTGTTTTCACATAATATAAATCAAAGGGTCAGAGTTCTTTGCAGAAAGGGTTAAAGAGATATAAACACTGCCTACTGAAGTGTATCAAACTAGATGGATCATGTATTGAGAAACAATAACTTCACACATGTATATTTTCATATAATACAGTTTTAAATAAAAGAGGTTTCTATTAACTTATAGCAACACTTCTTGTCTTATCCTCATAAGTGGTAAGCCATACAATATTTGGCCGTTGTGAGTTACTTCATCTGGCCTATTATACATAATATATAGTGGTTCATCAACTGCTAATCCCTCAAGTGGGATTGTAGAGAGAACTAGAAATTGGGCTTTGATAACAAGCAAAAGTATGTCTGAATCCCCATCCTGCCTTATGACCTTGAACAAGTTACTAAATTGCTTTAAATTATTCTTTCCCTCACCTACCAATTGGATATAATGGCCAGTGATTATACTCAATCGTGCTTATATACTCAACCATAATTGTTTGAGGTCTAAGTGTAACAACATAATAGATCCTGATACCTTACTTTCATTGGGTTTTAATAAATGATAGTGCTGTAATTCTTCATAAAAGTACCTATGAATCTATTTTTATCTAGCTTAGCAACATGCATAATTCTTACTTAAAATATATAATATGTCCAGAATGGCATATCAATAGATATTATCTTATCTCTATGTATTTAATATACTTCTCAAGGCTTTGTTCTGTGGCCTTAAAGCATTTTTGAAAAGATATTCTTATGTGAGGAAAATATAGAGATAATATAATAATAATATAAAATCAGTCCAGTGACCTTAGGGCATTTTTCTTGAAGGAATAATCTGATTTGGGGAAACATAGAGATAATATAATAAATATATAAAATTGTATTTATAATATGGAAATAACAGTATTTTAAAAACAAGCACACTCACTGCCATCAAGTCAATTCCAACTCATAAAAATAGCAATAGCTAATAAAAAGTGTGTGCCTGTCATATGCCTGCTATATGTTTAACATAATATCACTATCTCCATTTCCCATGTCAAGTCACAGAAAATGTAGCCATAAGCCTGTGATTTAAACAACTGCACTGCCATGCCTCTCCAGGAAGATGACACTCTAAACCAAGAATTGTGAGAGACTCCTCAGAACATTCTTGGAGCTATCTGTTGTGACAGTAGTAAAGGAAGAGAAGCAACACAGGGCTATGAGCATAAACTGTTCATGAATCTCACTTTAATAAAAGCTGTGAGAATTTATAATCATTCCTAAAGCATCATTTGAAAAAAGCCAGAAGTTAAGTGATTTCAAGATCAAATGTCCTTCAGAATAATGAAGACCAACTTTAACAGGTTAAGAAAACAAAGTTAGAATCCTTATATTGTCTTTCAATAGACCTATTAAGTATTTTTTCCGAAAAAATAACTCATTGAAAAGGGCATTCTGGCCTTTTCTACACCAATTTACCCATCTAATCATCTAATCAGTTTAGTGTCCCAAAAAGGATGTAAATACTATTTACTAGTCTAGTTGGCTTAGGGAAATTACTACTTAGAATGATTGCTTCTAGATAAAGAACAAACAGGTAGGGAAAAATCTATTTAATAAAGTTGTTTCATCATTCCTGAGTAAGAAGACGAAATCTGTGTCTAGGTTTGTAAATAAAGAAATGGGGCAAAGGAAAAGTACTCTACTTATCATTCAAAAGTTACAATAATCCCTTGAGTTCCTTAAAAAGCAGAGCTTTAGAGATTATCTAGAGCAAACAACAATGTTAACATTTTAAATAAGGCACTTGCCTTTCTCAAATACTTTTGAATTTTAGACTCCACATCTTCAATGTGTGAGATAATTTTGTTGACACATGGTCCTGGGATGTTTACTACACAACAGCTGTGACGTCGAGTTGGGTAGCCAAAATAAAGGGCTTTAGTCTTCTCTAAAAGTAAAGGAGACAGGGAAAGTTAGTTTTACATAGAGTAGCAACCATTGGTGTTCAAGATATTTAAGATATATATTTTTTCTTTATAGTAATAATATAATTAAAAAATCCTTTTACTTGTTTGCTTATATGTTAAATAAATAGATCCGTAATTTATAAAATGAACCCTTAAGACATTTAAGGGGTAGCTAGAGAAAGTGGTCACCAGATACAATAAGGGGAAGCTCTTAGCAGTTACCAGAGCTGTTCCACTAGAAGGTATATCATGCGCTTTCTGGCAGTGAGAAACTCAACTTGAAAACGAAATCTCTATAGACAAGTTTTGGGTTGCTTTTTTTTTTTAAGTGGGAGAACAGCAGCAGCGCCTGCTAACAGAGTCCCCTTTACAACTGACCGGTGACACAAGCTGCTTTGGTGAGCCTTGTTCCTCCCAAGCACAGCTGATTTTTCCCTTTTTTCCAGCACCTGGCGCAACCCATCTAGCCAAACCTCTTACCTCACGGGCCTCTGGGAGCCATGCGTGGATCAGAAACCAAGCGAGCAGGTTGGTGCAGACATTCACAAGACTCAAGATACACGTGCCATTTTTTCCCCTTCCTCTGACTTTCCTGCTTTGTTCTATAGTGCCCTACCACCCGCACATCAGACCTGCATACACACAATAATACTATCTAAGGAGCATGAATCTCCCTCCACGCACACGGCAGTTTTATTCACTTTATTTTCTTCAGATTTTGTATTTTTTGTGCTATCATAATGTATTTCAATTTTTCCTCTAGTTCTCTTTTCACTTCCTCTTCCAGTGTGTTTCACCCACCTGAAAATATTAATTTTCTCCAGGCAAAACAAGCAGACCTGTACATTTCTGTACATCCACTTAAGTGAGGACACTTTTTGGTCCCCGCCCGCTGAGCAGCTCTGAAGGAAAAAGATGAGACTTTCTACTCGCATAAAAACTTATAATCTCAGAAACCCACACAGGTAATTCTACCCTGCCTTATAGGGTCACCATTGATTGGAATCGACTCAGCAATAGTTAGTTTCACGGCACATGCCCACCACATTCATGCTCCCATAGCAACAGAACTCCAACACCCATACCCAAATCTGTTGTATATTTTGTCTCTTTTGGCTCTGCTTCTCTTCCCTGCATATCCATTCATTATCTCATTCTGCTTTCTCTTTTTCCTCATGAAATATATTTCCACGGACTATAGTAATTCTAATTAACCCTCTCAAAATATAGTTTTGAAAACAAATGTATTGGCTTATCCAGATAGTTGCCTATTATTACTATCCTTACTTTTATGCTCTCTATTCTTCCACCCCACTTTCCCCCATTTACCCATCTCAGTCTCCTTTTCTCCATTTTACTATTGCATGTTTTCTGACTCATATTAGATATTTCCTACATTACTAGTCATAGATGACTACCGCTAAACAATCCAGCAGCTCACACCACTAATAGATGTACCATAGAGGAAATAGCAGTCCATCACAGTAAACCCTAAAATCAAGGAAAACAAACACAAACAACTGAAAAATCACTCAAACACAATGAAGTATGTTGAAAGAAGAAGCCCTGGAACTATGAGAAACAGAACTCAGAAAATGATGCCGGTCCTTTCAAAAGATGTGGAAAACACTCATAAGAACAATGGAAGAAATTGAAAAACTAAAATCCTAAGACAAACTAACAAAACCTCAAAAGATAAAATATGAGATAAAGAATTCTTCAACATAGTCAAAGACCTAAGGAACAGAAGGGAAGAAAAGAAAAATAGAATCGGCGAGCCTGATTAAAACTGACAAGAAAAGACAAGGAAAAGAAGCAAAGAAAACTGAAGAAAGCCCTAGAATAATGTGGAACCCCTTCAAGAGAAGCAGCCTACATCTCTTCCGGATCCCAGAGCAAGAAGAAACAAACAAAACCTATACAGAAAATAGTACAAGAAGTCATGGAAGAAAATTTACCCAACATCATGGAAAAGGACAAAATAATTATTCAACAAGCTGAGAGCACTTCAAGTATGACAGACAGCATAATAAAAAAAATAAAAAAATAAATCAAAGCATTTCAGAGTCAAACTGTCCTATTCAAGGAAAAGGAGAGAGTCCTGAGGGCAGTCAAAGAAAAGAGAGCAGTCATAAAGGAAGGCTGATACGGGAAAAATGAACTCACCAGAAACTATTCAAGAAAGAAAACAATGGGATGGCATGTATAATGTTTTGAAATAAAAAATCCCTGCCAACCAAGCATCCTATACCCAGAAAAATTATCCCTCAATACAAGATAGAAATAAAGGTATGTTCAGACAAGGAAAAACTAAAGGAACTTGTAAAAATAGGAACGGCATAGCAAAAAATATCAACCAGATCCCTATGAACAAATAAATCAACAATAGCAGACAAATCTGAAAATATCACACAGCACTCCAACACCCCAAAACTAAGACAATGAAAGAAGCATTCAAAACAACATAAAAGTAAAGGGAAAACAAAGACACCAATAAAACAACCAATAAAGCCAAACACAAACGCAGGAAAATTATAAGAACAACCTGCAATGAATGTCAATGGATTAAGTGCACCAATAAAAAGACAACGAAGAGTAAACCAATCTTCATGCTGCCCACAAGAGACACACCTTAAAGTAAAAGACAAAAATTTTTATAAGGTTGAAGTTGTGTTCCCAATCTTTAATTTAAACATTTCTCATCAGAATCAATGCGCTAGAATGGAATCAAAATATTTTGAAGCACAGGTGGAAAAATGCTAGTCTCCTTGAAAGTGTGTTTGTGTGTGGCAAGAAAGCATGTACCTACTTACAAACCAAGCTGTAGAGATCAAGGACATAACTTAAGTGTTCATCTCAAGATTTCTAGATTGTTACATGGATTTGTGGTGGAACTAGTTACCACGTAGAACTTTCGGTATGTAATGACTATTTGCTATCGACTGATTAGACTGATTACGTGTTTCAAAGGATTGTGTTCTTAAATTTGATTGGGGGGTGTTGTGTTGGGTCTTTTTATTCTCTCAGATTATATTTAATTGCTTCTTGGCCTTTGGGCTAAGATCAAGTGTAGTATCAAATTATATTTAGTAGCTTAAATTTCTTTGCTACATTATTTCATTAAAGCATAAAAATTCCAGCTCTCTAATATTTTTTTTACTTGTTATACTAATTATTTACCAAACACCCTTTGCTAACTTTTATTTTATAAATGTGTCATATTAAACATCCTTAAAATTTGTTTGAATGAAACAACATTAACTTTGCTTTGCTGTACTAGAATATTTTTTTTAATACATCTTTTTCACTTCAGGACTCAGCACTTAACACTCACTCATATTCCCTTTCTTTCAATTCACTGAACAGAATGAATAACTAAGTAAAATAAATAAAAAATCAGAGGATGTTGAAAAATCTACCAAGCCAATGTCAACAATTAAAAGGCATGAGTGGCCTTATTAATGTCTGATATAATAGGTTTCATTGTGAACAACATAATGATAGATAATAATGGACATTATATAATGATTAAAGGAACCTTAAACCAGGAACATATAACCTTATAAACATATGCACATCCAAAGAAAACCCTTGAAATACATTAAAAAAGTTCTCCCAGAGTTGAAAACAAAAATAAACAGCTCAACAATAATAGTTGGAGACTTCACCACACAACTCCAAAGGAAAGACAGATAATTAGAGAAGAAATGCAATAAAGAAATAGAAAAACTGAACAACACAATGAACTAGACATATACAGAGCACTCCACGCATGACCAACACAGTGTACCTTCTTCTCCAACACACGCAATACATACTCTAAAATAGATCATTTGTTAAGCCACCAATCAAGCATCCACAAATTCAAAAACATTAAGATCCTACAATTCATTTTCTCAGAACACAATGATATAAAACTGGAAATCAACAATAGAAAGAACAGGAATGTAAGGACTAACACATGGCGATTGGACAACATACTACTCAATCTCATGAAGAGGTAACTGAAGAAATGAGTGCTACCAGATAAAATAAAGAAAGAAAACATTAAGTGAATATGATTGGGGAAATAAATGAAACCCTTTCAGAGAATATAATTCTAAGTAAAGAGAATCCAAGAACTCTACCAAAAAAACTGTTGGAAAAACTTGAAGGATTTGGTAAAGTAGCAGGATACAAGATTAACAAGCAGAAATTAATTGGATTTCTATACACCAATAAAGAGAACTCTGAAAAAGATGTCAAGAAAACAATGCCATTTACAATAGCTATAAGAAAGGTTAAATTCGTAGGCATAAACCTAACCAAAGAAACAAAAGACCAGTGCTAATAACACTATAAAACATTATTACAAGAAACCAAAAGAAACCTACACCTATAGAAGAGTATCTCATGTTAATGGATAGGAAGACTCAATATTATGGATATGTCAATACTACCTAATACAATCCATAAATACAGTGCAATTTTGATCCAAATCACAACTACATAATTTTAAAAAATGGAAAAACTAATTCCAACTTCATATGGAAAAGGAAGAGACCCAGAATGAACCAAGAACTTACCAGAAAGAACTAAGTAGAAGACCCCACACTATCTGAACTCAAAGCATACTACAAAGCCACAGTACCCAAAACAGCCTGGAACTGATACAATGACAGATACAGAGAGACCAATCAAACAGGAGAGAAAACCTAGAAATAAAAGCACATACCAACAGGCAACTGATTTTAGACAAAGGAACAGAAAACATTAAATGGGAAATGTCTGGGAGATGGCTTCCCTGGGGTGAACATAAGCTGGTTGTAGCACTTAATTATTAGGTGGTGGTATTAAGATATCATCCATGTAGTGTATGATCTCTCTCTGACTAAAATTTAGCTTATAAAAAACTGGCACATTGTAGTGTTTATTCACTACCCTGAGCTAAGGTTTCTATTTAAAATCTTTTAGTTGGGGCCCTATTATTTAACTCAGGGAC